ACACAGCACGCACGGAATCCATCTGTGACAGGCATAGCCGTGACAACACGTCAACAACGAACCCGGTGATAGGCATTATCGGTATAATACGCAACGCACGTGGAACCCCGGTACACAAAATAACGAACCATCTCGGTGACAGGCATTAGCCAACAGCACGTGACAGTGTACACACAGCACGCAACGTGGAACTACCCGGTATTAGCCGGTATAACACAGCATCAGCAATCGTGGAACCTCGTGGATAGTTTTGTCAGTATACACATAAAGCATCGCACGTGAACTATCTTGGTGGATAGGTTTTGCCGCATAATACGGCAATGGAATGGCCTGGTGGCACATGGCACGGAACGGAGCCCGGTGGATAGTTTGAGCCGTATAACAGTAATGGAACCTTTCGTGGATAGGTATGAGCCGGTATACATAAAGAACAGCACGGAACGACCGGTGGACAGTATAATATAAAGAATGGAACGACCAGGATGAGATAAATGTGGCAATATGTTAACAGTAATGGAACGCACCCCGGTGATAGGAAGAAGGACATAAAGAATGGAATACGTTAACGTTAACGTGAACCCTCTCGGTGATAGGTATTAGTCGTGTACAATACGTTAACGTTAACGTGAACCTCTCGGTGATAGGCATTAGTCGTGTACAATACGTTAACGTTAACGTGAACCCTCTCGGTGATAGGCATTAGTCGCGTACACCAATACGTTAACGTTAACGTGAACCATCTCGGTGATAGGCATTGTCGCATTACAATACGTTAACGTTAACCTGAAACCCTCTCGGTGATAGGCATTGGTCGTGTACAATACGTTAACGTTAACGTGAACCCTCTCGGTGATAGGCATTAGTCGTGTACAATACGTTAACGTTAACGTGAACCATCTCGGTGATAGGCATTAGTCGTGTACAATACGTTAACGTTAACGTGAACCCTCTCGGTGATAGGCATTAGTCGTGTACAATACAATAACGTTAACGTGAACCTCTCGGTGAAGGCATTAGTCGTGTACAATACGTTAACGAACGTGAACCATCTCGGTGATAGGCATTAGTCGTGTACAATACGTTAACGTTAACGTGAACCCTCTCGGTGATAGGCATTAGTCGTACAATATAATAACGTTAACGTGAGAATCTCGGTGAAGGCCGTGTACCGTACGATAGGCGTTAGTCGTGAACCACCTCTCGGTGATAGGCATTACGTGTACAATACGTTAACGTTAACGTGAACCCTCTCGGTGATAGGCATTAGTCGTGTACAATGCGTTAACGTTAACGTGAACCGGTGATAGGCTCTTGGTGATATGGGCATTTAGTCGCGCACAATACGTTAACGTTAACGTGAACCATCTCGGTGATAGGCATTAGTCGCGTACAATGCGTTAACGTTAACGTGAACCATCTCGGTGATAGGCATTAGTCGCGTACAATGCGTTAACGTTAACGTGAACCCTCTCGGTGATAGGCATTAGTCGCGTATAATGCGTTAACGTTAACGTGAACCATCTCGGTGATAGGCATTAGTCGCGTACAATACAACACGTTTAACGTTAGGCGTTGAACCAATCTCGGTGAAGGCATTGAAGTCGCGTACAATGCGTTAACGTTAACGTGAACCCTCTCGGTGACAGGCATTAGTCGTGTACAATACGTTAACGTTAACGTGAACCCTCTCGGTGATAGGCATTAGTCGTGTAACAATGTTAACGTTAACGTGAACCCTCTCGTGACGGGCATTAGTCGTGAACGTTAACGTTAACATCTCGGTGATAGGCATTAGTCGCGTACAACACGTTAACGTTAACGTGAAACCATCTCGGTGATAGGCATTAGTCGTGTACAATACGTTAAAGTTAACGTGAACCCTCTCGGTGATAGGCATTATTCGTGTACAATACGTTAAAGTAATACGGTTATAACGAATAGAAAGGGATGACTAATGTTAGGTTGAACGTAGTTTAGAGTTGTTCGGTACAACCGTAAACACATATTTCGATACAATGTACAGAAAGTGTCCTGGAACATGCAGCAGGGGTGTAAGGGGAGTCAATATTTCGGCCACATCGTTATTAATCAATTTAACAATTTAATTGATATCAATATTAAAAGCTATAACTTTTAGATAAAACCTGTCATCGAAAGTACAGTAAAAGTACTACAGTATCACAGTTCTTAATTTAAAACTAGTACGCTATCATGAAAATAAGTCACTATGGACTACAGGTACAAAATATAAAACGGGCTATAGATGACCTGCAACTGAAGGCTGATCACCTTACTAGGGACCATGGGAACCTACAGTACTTTTACTACCTGCGTTGACTCTAGCTGGATTTAAATCAACTCTTCAGTAGATGGCGATTGAAGTCAAATTCAGCCAAAATTACTATGGCCAAAGTGCTGCACTTAAAAATCTGAGTAAAATCTAAATTTCCTTTGAATGTTTCGAGACTTACGTACCCTCCCTAGGAGGACATTGAATTTGACAATACTTTAACCCCGCTTAAGGATAAAGCAATTAACAATCTAAGTTTCTAATCTAACCTACCAGTCATTAAAGTACATCTATCTACAAACCATATTAATCAACATTGATCAATTATATCAATTTCCTTCCAAAAGCAAACAATAATTAGATTAAAAATTAACCTTAGTAAAGAGATCCTTTACAGGTGTGACATTGACATGTTTATCCTCTCTCATCACAGGATACAAAACGGAGGATCTTCACCTCTTTAACAGGTATTTCCAGAGTATAATGCGTATGGCCAATGCGACATCGTCGCCATAATGACCTCTTCAAATCAAGTAGACAGCCCAAGTAAGTGTAACCGATAGTTGGCTTTATTTCATGCATTTTTTATACCTGCTTGCATCAGATCACGGATGTAAAATCTTATGTTAGCTTCACAATCAGAGTATGGGATCAGAGTTCTGTCACATTTATTGAGTGCTGAGTTAGCAGCAAGATCGGCCATTGTGTTCCCAGAAATGCCAACATGGCTGGGCAACCAACAAGAGACGATGTCGAATTGGCCAGTAGTAAGATCATTATATAACCTCAATAATTTCAATTAAAAGTGGATGCTTCTGCGGGCAACTTGAAGAGAGTCTGAAAAAGATGATATATTGTTTACATTTAGGGTGTTTGTAATATATTTAAGGAGCCGTTAATATGGCGTCTGCCCATGCTCTAAAAATAGTGCTGTTATCCGGCAATCGAGATAACAGCATCCAATGAATCAATGATTCAATGACAGTGGCACATGCCACTTCGCCACCATCCTTGGACCGATCTGTAAATAAAAGCATTTATATGTATTATATTTATTTTTTAATTGATTATATTCTTGTTCAAAGTGTAATTCATTAGTTTCTGATTTATTAAATGTTGTCAGTGTTAGGGTCAACTTGTGGCCTCGCTAATGACAAGGAGGAGAAGAAAGAATTCGGGAAGGAGATATATTTTCCAGCTCAATGCCAGCAACAGAAAGTAAAGGTTTGACTCTTAGTCCTAAAGGCGGAACAAGAGAAGATGTCCTGCTACACAATCCTCAAAAGGGGACCGAGGACACAGTTATATGCATGGTTGGACTCATTTGAATATAGTAGTTTAGTAAGACACTGTAAAGCCATTTTTTCACGGCGGGAATATACAACAGTTCGGTATATCCGTTAGTTCTACATAAAGAGTGTTCGCTTTAATGCTGGTTCACTGAGTATATCTGCAAAAATATTGAACAGGGACCATGGCAAGTGAGACTGCACACTAACAATGGTTTATTGTTTGTATGGGGAGATATGGTGTTCAGCCGGCATATCGCACACGTTGACATTTATACCGCTATTATGCAAATCCCAGCTGACAAGTCCCATTGCGACAACCAGCCGGCTGCCCCGTCCTGCTTTACAACCCCAATTCTGATGAAAGAGCTTCTCCTGGTGATACTCTTGACACGCTCCGTTGACTGACGGGCGGTCACGATCGACTCACTCTCGCACTGAGTTGCACGTTTGGATGAGACGACATCTCGTTTTCCTTGAACTATATGCGTGTATGTTTTTATTCAATCAAGTCCCCGGCGGCTGGTTATGTTGGTCGGTTGTTGTTACTCCGACCATCAGTTCTTTATGTCCCGGAGCCACGTTAATACTGACATTCGCAATGGAAGGGTTAGGAAAGAAAAGCAGACTTCACCGTTTATGTCCGAAGAGTACACTTTATCACGAACAGTTGCTTCTGGTTTATGTCGCGAATTGATCCGAATTGATATGAGCCTCGTTAACATGGACATGGGTGTATGAGCAGTGATGGGTTTTAATGTGGTTGGGAGGTTGGAGTGTTACCGGAACTTATCTCTAAGCTCCAACTACCAGTCGTCGTAAACGTCCAACATCCAAAACACTTCCAAACCCGTGAATCCAGAAACCCGTCTTCCGGGCAATATTTTCGGGTGGCGTGGTGGGTAGCCTAAAGGTTAAAGTGTTCGCTCGTACGGTTGGACTTCCCGCATGTGTGCGAAGCTCATTCCTGATGTGCCCTTCAGGAATTGCAGGAATGCTGCTAAATTCTGAGAATATATGCACTGTTTCAATCGGATAACACACACCCAATCCCCAAAATTGTATACATATCGAAACGACCTTGGCTCATGCATAATGTTTTGGGTTTTATTTCGCAAGCTTAATAAAATCGGTTTACAATCAGTTAGTTGTTCTGTGATAGCGCCGTCATTCTGATGTTTTATAATACACGAAAACGGATGCTGGTCACAGGTCCATCACACTGCGGTCGCACAACGTCGCCTGCACGTGGTGGGGTGATCTCAGCTCAGAGATACCGATATTATTGCATACATTATACCTGGTCTGTAAAATGTGGTCATCTCTACTAGTTTTGAAATGTTTACGCAACCTCTCATTCTAAGTGACACTATCTACTGGAATATAACTTTGTGTTTGAATACGATGAACGGTACTTTTACCTTTATCAGCTCCGGTCTCTCGTGGGTGGCTCCGGCCATTTGTCCCACTCGAGCCTCACCCCCACCCTTCCCACTGTCTAGGGGGGCACAACACCTCCCTCCAGCACGTTGACACTGGATAAAACAGAAGGGCCACTAGCAGCAACATCTTCGACCTCTCTTGCACAGACGCGTTGAATGAGAATACGGATTGTACTGCATCGTAAAAGTGCTGACCTTCGTCACGTGATCTCGTCTCGGTCTACATTTTGACAGGAGCTGATGGAGAAAGGACGGTAAGTTTACTGGTTTGAGTCATGGTGTTATGCAACGTAACATCTATCTATTTAAATTCAACAATGGGACCAATACCCATTTTTAGACACCCAAGTTTTCAGATTATTCGGAGTATGTTGACACCTGTTCTGCTAATGGTCTACAGACGCTGGTCGTAATCCCATCATTCTCACCTGTTTCAGCAGCTTGCCGACTTCGCGATCAGTAACCTCAAGAGATGTTCCTTTCATTATTCATAAGCAGCATGGACGTCTGAGTGAATAAACTTTTACGCCGCTTTTAGCAATATACGAAGCTCATGGCGAGGAACGCTAGAAATGCAGGGGCTTCACTTGGGTGTGACCCGGGTCTTCGGTGTGAAGAGCAGAAAGCTTTAAGCACTATGCTATCCAATCGCCCCCATTGTGGGGGAAGTTCTTGGGACCCGTGAAGATCCGGGTTAGAACTGGTCTTCAGCAAACCATGCTTGTCGTAAGAGACGACTACGACTACGCCGAGATCAGGAGGTCAGGCTCACTGACTTGACTGACACATGTCAACTTATCCCAATTGCGTAGGCCGATGCTGATGATTGTCTGGTCCCGTCTCGATTATTGTAGTAGTCATACAGCTGGAATACTGCGTGCAATGCGGCATTAAAACAAAGAGAAGAGAAGTGGTTCTGCTCCCTTTTGTACCCACACTGGGTGTTCAAAATGGATGGCTCGTTGCTGTGAAGACATCTTGATGGTACTTCTGTAGGACAGCTATAGGAATACACTGTGGCGACCTGGAGTCACCGTTGTCCACCTCAATGTGGAACCGTTACAAGACATTTGGTGCCAGGAAACAGTCTTCAAGTTACAATCTCAACTCTAGCATCCTCTGCCCAACTACCTCCAAGCCCCAACCCCACCCCCAGCCCCCACTTCCACCACCCCACGGACTCGTGGAAGTCATGAAAAGATAAAAGATGGCTAAAGACAATCTAAAGATGGTCCAATTGGACTTTGGTGTGGCACCTGCCAAACGTAGGAAGGTGTACCAGGAAAGGAATGCCAGGAAGGTGTACCAAGAAGGTGTACCAGGAAGGTGTGCCAGGAAGGTGTACCAGGAAGCCGGAAGGTGTACCAGGAAGGTGTACCAGGAAGGTGTACCAGGAAAGTGTACCAGGAAGGTGTACCAAGAAGGTGTACCAGGAAGGTGTACCAGGAAGGTGTACCAAGAAGGTGTACCAGGAAGGTGTACCAGGAAGGTGTACCAGTAATGTATGCCAGGAAGGTGTACCAGGAAGGTGTACCAGGAAGGTGTACCAGGAAGGTGTACCTGGAAGGTGTACCAGTAATGTATGACAGGAAAGGTGTACCAGTACTGTATGACAGGAAGGTGTACCAGGAAGGTGTACCACCATGTATGACAGGAAGGTGTACCCAGGAATTTGTACCCAGGTGTACCAGTACCAGTAATGTATGACAGGAAGGTGTACCAGCAATGTATGTTTGACCAGGAAGGTGTACCAGGAAGGAAGGTGTACCAGTAATGTATACCAGGAAGGTGTACCAGTAATGTATGACAGGAAGGTGTACCAGGAAGGTGTACCAGTAATGTATACCAGGAAGGTGTACCAGTAATGTATGACAGGAAGGTGTACCAGGAAGGTGTACCAGGAAGGTGTACCAGTAATGTATACCAGGAAGGTGTACCCAGGAAGGTGTACCAGTAATGTATGCCAGGAAGGTGGTGTGCCAGGAAGATGTACCAGGAAGGTGTACCAGTACCAGGAAAGAATGCCAGGAAGGTGTACCAGGAAGATGTACCTGGAAGGTGTACCAGGAAGGTGTATCACGAAGGTGTACCTGGAAGGTGTACCAGGAAGGTGTACCAGGAAGGTGTACCAGGAAGGTGTACCAGGAAGGTGTACCAGGAAGGTGTACCACGAAGGTGTACCAGGAAGATGTACCAGGAAGGAATGCCAGGAAGGTGTACCAGGAAGGTGTACCAGGAAGGTGTACCAGGAAGGTGTACCAGGAAGGTGTACCAGTAATGTATGCCAGGAAGGTGTACCAGGAAGGAATGCCACGAAGGTGTACCTGGAAGGTGTACCAGGAAGGTGTACCACAGTGTACCTGGAAGGTGTACCAGGAAGGTGTACCAGGAAGGTGTACCAGGAAGGTGTACCAGTTATAATTACTGGATGGATGTGCTTTTAAAAACATAAAAAATCTTTCACTATTTCATCCAAATTCAGCTGTCACATGTTTCTATCTTCAGATGTTTACAAACGGTTCTCGCTCAGGAGCTTGTGATTCTGATTTAGTGCAGTAGAACCAGCACTGGTTACAGTCCCCGATACTTTAAGATAATATCTTATCTGTAGATTATTTCATTGTTAAACACGGGTAACGTACACACGCCGAAACCATGTCTGGGGGTATCCACAAATGAGCCTGAAGAATGTAAACAGCACTTATCGACGAATAACTTCTTTATTACAATGGGGAGCGACAAGTTTCCTTCATAGATTCTAACAAGCATGTGAAGTCAAATCGTAAAACAAGTAAATGCATCCACACTACTACTGATGTTTCCCTCTCAAAGAGATGCTTTAATTCGTTATGATTGGCTCTGCTTGAATAACCTCCTCAGTGATCATGTCGGACAGGGTCGCTACTGTAGAAATGATCATTGATTTCATTGATCAAAAAACATTGAAGTGATTTAACACCATACATTTCATTATAATATTTTCATTTGTCATTATTTTTTCAAAGTTTTCCAATCTACGTTTCCATGCATTTTAAACAGACACATTATTCAAATCATGTTAGGGCATCATTTTTTATGTTTCACGTAGCCACCGAATTCTGAACATGGGTTGGTCGGTCGGGGAAAAAACTAAACAAAAACCTAATAAAGACAAAAATATCCGAATAATGTTCTTGATTCTCATTTAGTGTAATTCTTATTACAATTTCGAGTCGGCGGTGTTAGAATGCCGGTAAGGCAGATCATGCTTACCCTTGAAGCAACACCCGGTGTAATCATTTTGCAGAATATCAATAAAACATAATACACACGCAAGGAAGGGTAACATATATCATAAAGCCTCTCCTCTGTGGACATAGGCGACATAGGCGAACAGCTGCAGGCTCTGAAACTATAAACTATGTAGTGATTCATAAATGTCCACATTATGCAAACATGTTCTCAATGTTATGGCGTCTGGCTCCGTATCGAGTTCACTAAACGTAATGTACTGTGTCACATAGTGTACTTCGTCGTTATATTATTTCACAGAAAAAACGTGTCTGGGGTGCATCATGGTTACATAATCACATTTTAATAGTAAACCGAGTTAATCTGTCTTGCTTAAAATGGCCAATGTTCCACTACCTCTGTACATTTCATTCGTCTCTGAACAGACCTTCACTTTGTAGGAGTTCACTGAAGTATCAACATTATATAATGAGGGCCAACTGTATGAACGTCGGAACTTTGTAGAATACAATCTCGGGGAGAACGACGAAGGTTAAAATCTGTCCCTCGTCTGTATCTCTACACATATTTTAAATATGAAAAATCGTCTTGTTTCTGTGATCGACATGGGGTAAAGTAAAGGGAAAGGGAGGGACGTCAACATTGCTCTACTGCATGGAATGTTCAGACTGACAATTAGGCCCAGAATTGAATCTGTCTGCTTAGAAAAGATATATATCAACAAAAGTACATGAAAATCCAAATGGCGGCCACGACTATGCAAAATAGACCCAATCTGGATACGTTCCGTCATGTATGACTTGACGTTAGCCTGTTGGTAATATATTCTATTTATTAGACAGTCTGTGGACTGTGGATGAAACTGAAAGTTTACTTTTCACTGTAGGTGCTCCAATACTTCCGCACAGGCTTCACCACAACACTGACTTCAAGCATACATGTCCGAAAGTAAGAGAATAGATTCCACCACAACACTGACTTCAAGCATACATGTCCGAAAGTAAGAGAATAGATTCCTACAACACTGACTTCAGCATACATGTCCGAAAGTAGAGAATAGATTCCCACCACAACACTGACTTCAAGCATACATGTCGAAAGTAAGAGAATAGATTCCACCACAACACTGACTTCAAGCATATGTGTCGAAAGTAAAGAGAATAGATTCCACCACAACACTGACTTCAAGCATATATGTCGAAAGTAAGAGGAATAGATTCACCACAACACTGACTTCAAGCATACATGTCCGAAAGTAAGAGAATAGATTCCACTACAACACTGACTTCAAGCATACGTGTCCGAAAGTAAGAGAATAGATTCCACCACAACACTGACTTCAAGTATATGTCCGAAAGTAAGAGAATAGATTCCACCACAACACTGACTTCAAGCATACATGTCCGAAAGTAAGAGAATAGATTCCACCACAACACTGACTTCAAGCATACATGTCCGAAAGTAAGAGAATAGATTCCACCACAACACTGACTTCAAGCATGCATGTCCTCGGAAAGTAAGAGGAATAGATTCCACCACAACACTGACTTCAAGCGTACATGTCCGAAAGTAAGAGAATAGATTCCACCACAACACTGACTTCAAGCATACATGTCCGGAAAGTAAGAGAATAGATTCCACCACAACACTGACTTCAAGCATACATTTCCGAAAGTAAAGAATAGATTCCACCACAACACTGACTTCAAGCATACATGTCCGAAAGTAAGAGAATAGATTCCCACCACAACACTGACTTCAAGTGTATATGTCCGAAAGTAAGAGAATAGATTCCACCACAACACTGACTTCAAGTATACATGTCC